GACTTCTGCGGCCGGGGGGCTGAATGGGCGGCGGGGACAGGCGACAGGAGCCCGTCAGTCTCTTTGAAGGCCGCCTTGTAAAGGGACTTGCCAAGTCGAGACAGGCGAGTGACAAGATAGAGACCCCGGCGTTGCCCAGGCGAGGCGCGGCTCTTCCGCTTCATCTGCGCCGCACTAAAGGACGCGAGGAGGCATTGAAGGACAGCCACACAAACCCCACACCCACCCCGCGCGCACACACGCACCAGTGGCACGGCCGAAGAAAAGGTGCCCCCGGACACAATGCCTGCAGCAGTGTCTGGGCTGAGGCGTGGCACAGGACCACGTCCAATCGAGGCGGAGGGCGCCCCAGACACGCACGGAGGCGCCCTCCCCAGGCGGACGGGGCCCGGGCCGGCCGCCTCCGGCCCGCGACCATTTGCCTTTCATTTGCCAGGCAGGCGGCTCTCCTCGGCGGCGGCGGCCCTTAACGAGGCCCTGATGCGGGACGGAATCGAATTCGAGTCCGGCTCTTGGGGCGGGGGGGCTTTTCTGCTTCACTGGAGGTGGGGAGGCTGTGAGCCTTGAGAATTGCTAGTGGGGGGGTCCCTCTCGTGCGGGAGCCTAACTAGGTTAATGCAATTATCCGGCGATCGGGCGAGCACCAGATTGCTCCCCGAAAGTAGCCCCCCCCCGCAGTTCCCAGCCCGCCTGGGCACCGCTGGCCGGGCAGCCCGAGAGGGACCCGCCCGGTCCCTGACGTCTGACAAGTGGCGGGTACCACGGGAAAATCCGCACCTGTGGCCTTGGCCAGCAGCAGGCGCAGAAGCTGCAGTAGCAGCCCCGGGGCAGGCTCTCGGCCACCCCCCAGCTCCCCGCGGAAAGGCGTGTGGACCGAGAGGCAAGCGGTGTCCCCCCCCCCCATCACCAGGCAAGCGTTAACCCCTCCAGCGCCGGGCTCACAGGTGCAGAGGGAACCCCGTGCACAGCGCAGTGTTTACAAGAGACTGTTCAGCGGACTTAGAAGGGTGTGTCTCTGCGTGGGATTGCACTGTGAATGGCCTCTTCTGTCGTGCTGGCTCCGCCCGTCCCAAGCTTTCTTTTGGAGTAGGTTAGACGAAGGCGCTGCCCCCAAGCAAAGGGCCCTCAGCACCTCCGAGAAACGATCCCTTCCCTCCCAGTCATCCTTTTCAGCACTCTGTCGGTCTCTGTTGCCTCACAGAGGAGCTGGCCTCGGGAGGAACACTAGCCTCCCCCCCCCCCTTAGAAGGAGGAGACTGCAGAACTTCTCCTCTGCTGTCGACAGGATTTTGTTGGGAGTGAATGGTCAGTTGGTCTGGTATCCTTCCTCAACTGAGCAGAGGGCACCATGGCTACAGGCGGTCGCAGCCCTTTGTTCTCAGTGTGCTGGCAGAGCTACAAAGTTACACAGAGCCACTTTTTCAGTTTCAAGACTAATACTAGTCCTTTTATTAGCAAGGGAGCCACATTCTAGATAGTGAAGCTCAAGAGACAGAGACAGAAGTAACCTAAAGTACCTTGGATGGGTTTGGTTGCATTGAGGCATCCAGCCTCCATCGGGGATAATGTGTGCGAGAAAAGTGAGGAGTGTGAGGGGGGGGGGGAGGCAGGCAGGCAATTTCCCTCTTATCTATCAGTCTGCTTCAAAGAACAGTGCCAGGAGAGTAGAGAGGAAGAAAACCCACAGTTTGCCTGTCTAGCTCACTGGCTTGTTTGCAACCCCCCCCCCCCCCAGCTGAGGCTTGAGACAGCGCCCGGGCCTTCTCTTCCAACAGATATCGCTGTTGCTTGTTTCTCCCGCACAAGGACAGGGGGCGGGCCTCTCTCACCATCCTCACAACTGCCCTCTAAGGCCGAGCGGCACGAGTCCCATTTTACGGGTAGAAAGCTGAGGCCGAAAGTGAATAGCCAAATTATCCTGCGAATCAAGGGACGAAGAGAGGGGTGTCTTAGGTCTCGTTTCCCCAAGAACCACACCAAGCTGTTTCAGGTTGCGTGGGGCCCAAATTACTATGATTTACCTCTCAGTTCCTGCCAACCTAGCAGTTCGAAAGCAAGAAATTGCAAGTAGATAAATAGGTACCACTTCGGTGGGAAGATAGCAGCGTTCTGTGCGCCTTGGTGTTTAGTCATGCCGGCCACATGACCACGGAAACGTCTTCGGACAGCGCTGGCTCTTCGGCTTTGAAATGGAGATGAGCACCAAAACCGTAGAGTCGGATTCGACTGGCTTTCGAGCAAGGGAACCTTTACCTTTACTTACTACCTTTCAGTACATCTAGCCATCCTGAGGCATTTCTTAAAAGCTATCGTAATTATTACTTCTTTTCCAATTAAATTTTTGGACTACAAAATTGTTTTTATTACAGTAAGACATCAAAGCCAAAGTGGCTTTTAAAGAAACCAAGATCTATCAGTACTATAGAAGATCTGTGATTTAGGTCTCCCTCGCATTAAACTGAACACAAGGATGAAAACTTTTTGGAGCCTCCACGTTGTCCATGAGTTCTGAATGACTGCTTGTTTTCAGCCCCATAGATTTATTGGAGTGATTTGTTAGATGTGGAGGACTTGGCGCTGTCACCTGGTTCAGACTTGAGAAGGTGGCACCAAAGAGTTTAGACAGATAGAGAGGTCAGGACACACGGAGCATCCTTTCCTTCCTGCTATCTGATCCTTTCCTTTGAAGTAGAATGCTACTCTTAGGGGCAATTTCCTCTGCTTCCGCTCTCACACTCCCTCACTCTCTCTCTCTCCTTTCTCTCCCATGCACGAAGAAGGTGCTTGATTTCCATCTTGCACCATGGAGGCTGGACATGCGTCCAGCATCCAACACCATCAAGCTAGTTAAAATAGGCAATCTATATCTATCTCTTACCTGCACTCTCAACCATGTATTTCCTTTAATAAATGCTACAGTTTTAGAACTGAATGCTGACTCCGTGTGACTTTGTAAGTCTGTTGCCACACCAAGCCCTAAGCTCTGCTGTGTTTAAGAACATAGGAGACGCCAATGTTGGATCAGGCCAAAGGCCCATCCAGTCCAACACTCTGTATCACACAGTGGCCAGAAAGACCAGGTGCCATCAGGAGGTCCACCAGTGGGGCCAGGACATTAGAAGCCCTCCCACTGTTGACACCCCCCCCCAAGCATCACTTGCCCCAGAGCCCCCATCTATACCTTGTGGCTAATAGCCACTGATGGACTGATAGCCACTTTGAGCACTCTGCTGTTTTTCCGTGGTTCCCCGGCAGCGCCTAGTCCAGAGAATCCAACATGTATCACCGTCACCATCTCGATGAGCTAGAGACGAGTCCACTAGCACTTTAGAAGCCAGCAAGATTTTCAGGGTATGAAGGCTCCCTTGGTCAGATACGAGGTTCGAGTTCTTATCAGGCTAAGTATGCCTGGACTCTCCGAAGCTTCTACCCAGAAAATCTTGTCGTTCTCTAAGCTCACCTAAAGCTCACCCCGAACATTCTTGGTGGTCTGGGCTCGTATCTAGCTGCTCTACTGCAGACCAGCACGGCCACCCGCCTGGAACTACCACCTTCCTTGAGGAAGTCTCCTGGTATTGTGTGCAACGTGCTATAAGTAGCGCCACCCCACTTGGACAAAAGTGTACATGGATCTATTGAAACTGGTACTTCCAGCAGAGTTAATGCAAAATACTAGGACAATCTCATTGCAAGGAAATGGACCTAGAGGGAAAGTTTTCCTTGTAGTGGACAAAACCCCGGGCTCAGAGAAAAGTCTGAAAGCCAAATGGGGCAGAATAAAGGGCGGGATTCTGCAGCCTAAAACCACCGCTCTCCAAACAGTTTTGGAAGGGGACGTTTGATAGGTAGAAGCTCTTTTTGTAGCAGGAACTCCTTTGCATATTAGGCCACACACCCTAATGTAGCCAATCCTCCAAGAGCTTACAGAGCTCTTCTTACAGGAGCTACTGTAAACTCTTGAAGGATTGGCTACATTAGGGTGTGTCACTTAATATGCAAATGAGTACCTGCTACAAAAAGAGCCCTGAAAGCCTAGGTTTACCATTTTAAAAAAACACACACACCTGGGGCTCTCCTCTTTGAAAGCCGTCTCCCCATGAATGTAGCTGTGAAGCGTTTTTTTGCCAGGAAGGTGGCATCCCTTATAATGTGACTAAAATGGGATGAGTCCAGTGGCACCTGGAAGACCAACAAGGTTTCATTCTGGGTGCAAGCTTTCCTGCGCAGGATTAATGGTAATAAATTATCTTCACTCAAACTTTGTTCTGTTGTTTCAGATCACAACAGGGCTACCCACCTGAATCTAAACCGGGATGAAGATTTGCTGAGGGGGAGGCTCTGCGGATCTGCGGCACGAGGCAGCAGAGGTATGCACCCTGAGCTCAGTATACTAAACTTTAATTTCAACCCTCTTGTGCGTCAAGACATGTTCTCTTGGAGTCTGTGGACACCCCCGACGTCTCACACATATAGTGGACTCCTATGCAGAGTTACTCAACTCTAAGCCTATTAATTTCAGTGGGTTTAAACTGGAGTAACTCTGCAAAGGATTGCGCTGATAGCCTAGTCCCCTCATCTGGTCATACTTTGGCACCCGTTTCCGGTTCCTTCACACAGGCACGCTTCCTCCAAAGGAATCACCTTTGATTTAATCAGAGTTTATTATAATAATATAATTGGCATATTCATCACATGGTAATAAATTATCTTCACAGTTTCTGGGAAGTGTTTCCTTTTCCCAGCAAAAAAAAAATTGCCTGAAAGGTCCTGCCAGAGAAACGAAAATTATTGCATATTTTATAATTAATATAAATTATATAAATTATACATTCAAAAAGACAGTTCTGTTTCAGAAAATCTAAGTAATAAATAGATAAATAAAACGTTGATTGCCTTTAGAAGACTTTTTTTGTATTGAGTACCTCTAAAAATAAAAGTCTTTAGGTACAAACGTACTCGTATAAAGATTATCATATGTACAGGAGAAAAGCCTTCACGTTTCACGATAGGAAGTCAAACGGGGGCTCGTTTTCGATGTTGTTGAGGGAGGGCTGTTTGCTTAGCTTCCTGGGGTCTTCCGGGGTCCACACTTTAGCAGTTCTAAAAATGTTTTGTTCCTTGAGCTGTTTTTCGTCAGTCCAGGACAGAGAGTGTCCAGCCAGAGGAGGCAGCCCGTAATCTGGGTCGCTCGGAGAAGGTGATCCTGGGGGGAAGAGACCAAAGAGAAAGGCAGGCGGTCAGCATTCACGCCCAGCACCCCGAGGACCAGCTCGACACCCGCGCGCCTCTCGCTTGGCGGTTGCGGCGCCGTAGCACAGCCCTCCGACTAACCCCAGCCTTCAGCGCCTGTTGCAGGGCGCAGGAACCAGAAGTCCCCCCCCTCCCGTTCTCCATCTTTCCCCACCTCCCACCCCCGCCTTCACCGAGAGCATCTAATCTCTGGCACCGAGAAAGGAGTGCGTCACCGTCCGTGGGGGTGCGGAAAGCTACTTCAGAGACCTCAGGCAGGAAAGCGCATCCCTTTGGGGACTCTTGGTTTGGGTCGCACGCTCAGGGGGGGACGCCCAGGAGTACTGGTGGTGGAGGAGGAGAAGGGTGGAGGGGTCCGGCCCTGCGCCTGATCTGCCCTCTTGGGCTGCCTGCTGCGGGCCTGAAGTGCGCGCGCGGACGCTAGCTAGTCTAAAGAAGAACCCCTGCCCTGCCTCTAGCTGAAATAGGGGCGCAAAGCTCCTGGGGGCGCGGAGCAGGTCGCTCAAACCTGTTGCCCTCCGGTCTTCTTCATCTCTGTTCCTGCCCGACTGGCTGGATAGGTGCCTGGTGTCCAGGAGGAGGACCCTCCCTGGTGGGTGTGGGCGTCTCTTGACGCGCACAGTGGGTGAAAAGGGAGGACGGGGGGAAGCCTTCGCTGTTGTCCCAAGCTGGGTGCGACGGGGTGTGTAGCGCTGGGCGCAGCAGGATGCAGGCGTGCGCCGTGGCCGGGTGCGGGCGTGCCGGTGTGCTTGAGAGTGCGGGAGGCTTGGAAAGGTGAGGCTGGCTGGAGCCAAGGCACCGGCTCCCCTGGGGCTTTAGGGCGCTCTCGCACCCACCCGCGGAAGAATGCGCTTTCGGTCCACTTTGCACGGGGGCTGGTGTCAACTGGGCTGCCTGCCACCCCTGCAGACCACCAGTTATGCCGCAGGGGCGGCAGCCCAGCTGAAACCAGAGCCGGCGAGGAGGAGGAGGCCGAGTGGGGTGGATGAGAGCCCGCGCGCGTGGGGCGGGGAGACCGCAGGGTTAGCGAGCGCGCCTGCCCTGCCCTGCCCCCGGCCCTGCCCGCCTCCCCCGGCGCGTCTCCTGGCCGTCGGGGCGCTTACTTGTGCCGCGGTGGCAGATGATGACCTTCTTGGGCTGGCAGGGGCTCTGGCTGCCGGCGCTGCGCAGGGGCAGGTCGGAGCGGACGAGCTCGCTGAGGAAGTTGATGTAGCCGATGGCCAGGCGCAGCGTGTCCACCTTGGAGAGGCGCTTCTCGTAGGGCAGCGTGGGGATGTGCGAGCGCAGGCCCTCGAAGGCGTCGTTGATGGACTGCATGCGCCGCCGCTCCCGCACGTTGGCCGCCTGGCGCTGCAGCTGCAGCTCCGCCTCCGAGCGCACCCGACGCCGCCGCCGCGCCGCCGCCCCGAGCGCCTTCCCGCCCGCC